ATTTAAAATGACAAACAAACATTCCTTCACTAATTATTCAAAGAACATAATATGTTAGCAAATGCTTCCCAAAATATTTGACAAAACTTCCAAAAACATTTACTTTTTCAAATCTTATGAAAAAAAAAAAAAATAAATATATATATATATATATATATATATATATATATATATATATAATGGAATGAAATGCATTAATGGAAGTATAGGCTGTTTGTGTTTTAAAACCACTGAAATTTTTTGTTTAAAAAGGCAATATTGATTATTTCTGTGGAGTTCGTAGAAGGGCAGTATGAAGGATGTTGATAAACACAAATGCCGGATGTTCAGTATGGATTACCACCCGTCTGTTTCATTGAGCCGGACTGAGCGAGAGTGAGTTCAACTCTTTGCACTGATATTTATAGCACCATCCATGAAACTATTGTATTTATTTATTCCACTGGCATTAAAATAACATACCGATCTGTAATGACTGAGCCCAAATCATGGTATTTCTGAGGCTTGGAGGTCCAGGATAACACTGGTCCAAATTCCCAAACAATGAATGCCAATCTCCCGAGAGGTAATTATCTGCTAAGCTGCAGATCAGAAAATTCCTAACAGAGTTTTATTAGCACTACTTACAGTAGGACTTTGGACTTCAGTTTGCTAAAGATGATTTTGGCAGTGTGGAGTCCTGGGATATGCTACACACTTCAAAGCATGATGTTGATCGGACAGAACAGATGCCACAGGCCAATTATTAGATCAATAGTACTTGTGACGAATGTGCGTGTGTGTCTGAAAATGAATGAAAGGGATCATGTAACAGCCCCAAGAGAAAATGTGGGCAGAAATCCAAACACACGCTAGATCAAATGTCCACATTGTCAGTATACATGCACACAACAGAACTGGCTGGAATAAACTCAATAAACCGTGCACATTAGTGCACACAACTAGCTTTTGTTAAAAGCATAAAGCACTCAATCACACCTACACACTTATACTGTCGACAGGGGCACTTAATGCCCACACACACACACACACACACACACACACACACGGGCTGTGGATCCAGGCATCACTGAGCTGCCCACACACAGGCCTTTACATAACTCTGCTCAGCACCAGTGGCATAATCACAATGACATTTACCAAATAAGTATGTTTGCTCTTATTTGACCTGGTGAGTCTGTGAAAAAGCGCAGTAAACATGAGACTGTGTGCTAAACATGAAACTGTAATGTTCTTCATTTATTCTGAGCGCTAAATCTAAAGTGCAATGAAAATTTGACATTAACGTTCCTTCCAAAATGTTATTTTGTTTTTAAAAAAGAAAACTTGTGCGCACCAAGCGGCAACCTCCCGCTCTAGGGAGTAACTAAAACTGCAATTCAGCCGAAATACCGCTAGTCCTGGCCGCTCCTGGCTCCAAAACAGAGCAAATTTCAATTGAGCCCACTGTTAGAATGGCCAACTTTACAGCAGAAAAAAAGGTGTTTAAAGCCTGGTACAAAAAAAGATTTTGGTTAATACAGCTAATATTACCCTTCATGACAACTGTGAGGGGGTGAATTTTTTATAACTCAACTGTTTCCTTTATATTAATTTATATTAAGTTTGCATAATTAAGGGAGTGGCCACTTGAGTGACAGCTAGGTCTCGTTGGTCACCGTCACGTCACTTCAGCTAAATCCTGCAGATTAGCCACTGAACTAGGCATATTTATCGTATTTCTGTGTTGTTTTATGTGGCTTTACACAGTCAACTGCCTTTTGGACTTGTTTCCTACAATTATTAGATGGCATGGCATGCTGAGTGCACTTAATTGTGCTTACAAACCATTCACGTGGCCTCCGTTTCCCATGTGAGTAAAGTTATATAATTATATACCATCTCTATACATGTATTTGTTTTATTTAAGATCATTTATCGTTTATATTTATATTTACAGCTGTAATGCACTCCAGAATCTGACGAATTGATTAGCTGTAAGCTCTAGAACAGTCATCTAAAGCGTTGTCATACAGTGTTATGCTGGATTTCATCAATAGTCTTACATTAACTAACAAAGACTATATCTGAAGTGTTTGGAAGTAATTCACGTTTTCCTCCTGTTGAAAAACGTCATAAGAACAATGTTTAGTGGCTCAATGTATTACAGCAGTGTGTTTTTAAAAGACTAAACACTTTATTGATATAGTGTACAACCAAGCACAAGTGGTCAGAATACAAACGAGTCACAGATGATAAAGTATTAAGCGTTCTCCCAAAGTAAAGTGTGTCTGAACCAGGTCCAAGCAAAATGCCAGCAGGTGTCTGTAGCTCCACTCAGTCTCCGCCTCTTTGCCCTTGTTTGGTATCCCGCCGTGGGTGCGATGACACGCGACCAAAATGGCGACGGTTGGCCACACCTACTTGTGGCTTCTTTTGCGCTCTTTAGAAACCTATGGGTGATGTCACGGACACTACGTCCATATATTTTACAGTCTATGGTGCGCACCAAGGCTGCATTTACAGCAGATATTGTGTTATATATATTTTCATAAATAAAGCAAATCTAAAAATAAAAAATCTAATGTATGTTGTCTCTTTTGATATATTTTAAAATGTCATCTATTCCTGAGATGACATGCTGGATTTCCACCATCAATACTTCATCAATCTTCAGAAAACCCCTCTAAAATGCTCAGTTAGTGTTTTTTAAACGTGCTATATGTAAGTTTTTGACTCTTCTAAAGCATAAAAATGCCATAATATGTTTGCAGATATCTAAGAAACATGCTAAGTGAACATACTTGTTTATCTGAAAAACAATGCAGTCAGATATTCTGCTTTGAAAACGTGCTTTCCGTGCCAGGATGCGATCTTGGTTCTTTTAACACCCCACTGCCAGTTCAGCCAATTATATTTCAGCACCCCGGGTTATCTTTGTGGAAAGCATCATATTTCATTCATTCATCAGAAGGCTCTCAAAGCGTTCATCACCGAAATGTAACCTCAGGTGGTGAGTAGCAGACCCTGAAATGAGACGCAGATTCAGAGTTCCACATGAGGTGGTTATTAAGCCAATAATAGCACAGAATAGTGCACTCACTGCACTCCAAAGAAATGGTAAGGTTTAAAATCTAATTAATACATATTAAACCTCTTTAACATTAATAAATGTACATGCTGAATCACTGATATGTGTTGGCTTGCATTATTTTCCAGTACTAAAGTTCAATTTCAAATTGTTTATTTAACTTTAAAGAAAAAAATGGCATTCAAACTCACATTGTTAGCATATAACACTGAATAAAGCACATGAGGTGTACCTGAGGTGATCAATAGCTATGTTTTCATCCAAAAATGCAAATTAACTTTATGCACAAAACTGGATTATCGCATAAAAGATATACGACTATAGCAGCATTTCCATTCAATGAGTCAATGAGTTCCATTCAAGCAAACAAAATCATCACAAAATCGTCACTTACTGGTGCCAAATATCAACAGTAAAATGGAATTTGCTGTGATAAGAGAAGCTGTGTGAATCTGTTCTTCATTTAATAAATGGCTTGCAATTCAGAAGACAGTCCGCAGTTCACGCAGTGAACGCCCGGTGGTGTTTGAAAGTATGAGACGCGGAACAGAATCTGGATGTCATTAATATTATAAGAACACTAATCGTAACTGGTTAAGGCGTTTTAAATTTCAGATGTTTTACAGTGTGCTCAGCCTGCTGGTTTGTCCATTCGCACACATTTTTGTCATCACGTGATCTCTTATAACAAAATCACATGACTTTTTTTATGCGCATACTGGAATTTGTTCAGTAAAAGTGTTTTCATCATAGTTTTTGTGCATCCTTTCTTATCGAATACAAAGTTTATCCTACACATTTTTGTGCATTAGTTTTTTATGCTCATTTTAAAAATTTAGGCACATCTTGGCATTTCCATCAACATAGCTAGTGTCGGTTTTCTGTTGCTCAGCTGCAAAAAATAGAAGCCATTTCTAATATTAATTTAAGGATTCAAGGTGTTGGTTAGAACAAAAACAAAAAATAATATGGACAATATTCCTTCTATCGCGTGCCGTTACCTTTATATAGAACATGCATAAAATCAACCTTTAGGCTTGATAGTCAGACTTACTCCTTTTGGTCCTCAATCTGGCAACCTGCACTTCTGTTTGTTTTGATACAGGAATGCAATACCTAGTTTAACCACTGGGTGTCAAACTTACATACTGCACCTTTAAATATTTATTGTTTATTTATTGTTATCATCATTTTTATGTTGCTGTGAACTCTCCCTGTAATTGTTAAATGTTGATTGTGTGACAGGAAAAGTCATCTGTGCTCATTTAGTGCCGTGTGTCTGATTGGCTATCTGACTGGAATTATATTCTTTCTCTGGTCTAAGGTCGTGTAGTGATTCTAGCCATAATTTCTCTGTCAGTGTCAAAGTAGATGTATGGTTATTTGGGTAAAATGCCAAAAAGCTTGGCCTTCCTCAGCACTATTACGATGAACAGTATTCACCCTCAGTCTCTGCCAGAAAGGGCCTCCCTTGTGGTTTTCTCCATCTAAAATAAATATGAACAGCCCTCCTTTGCCCTTGGTCTCAGGGGGAAATCTTCCTCTGTTCCCTGCCAAGTTTATCAGAATCCAGTAGAGTAAATATGCTGGACACTTCACTGAAAACCTGGTGTCGGTGGTTCCCTGAACCATCTGCTGTATTCATTACAGCTGCAGTCATTATACATAATTACAGTTATACATCGCAACATACGCACATCAAATTGTGCTCCGAGGCAGACTGCTTGTGTGGCTTGTAGCAGATTTTGGAAAAGCATAAATAACTGTCATGAAGCTGTGAGATTTGACCTCTCTGACTCACCTCATCTCTGTTGTTTGAGTCAGAGCATGCTGAAGAATATCACACCTCCTGAGAGACTTCTGTGTACTGTAGCTTTATGAATCACATTATAAATATTCAAACTGTGTCTTATTTAAACATGATTTGTTTCCTTTTTTCCTTCCTTATTTCAGGTGTTCAAATTTTTAACAAAACAGTTGAATTTAAAGTTTGTTTATGACGGTTTTTGACACTCTGATGGTGCATTTAAGACTGGAAAACTGGACATTTCACAGGAATCAAATCAAGCAAACAATTCTGCTTTACATGACAAAATGGCATTTTTTAAGAGCTTCCAGCAAAGTCTCCCCTCAGTGTCTGCCATGTTGGAATCGGTGACAGAAAAAGTTGACGATTTGGCTTTTGCTCTGAGCGACGTTACATACACGGTGACTGGAGAACTCGCAGAGCATGTCAACACTATCATTCACAAGGTGCAAGCTGAGGAGCTAAAGAGGATTCGTAAGAAAGAGGCTGAGGAGAAGGAGGCTGCGGCACGACAGGTCCAAGAGAGAAGAGACACTTTTCTGGATCGGGCTAAAATCCAGACCCAGGCTGCATCGGGCCTAGTGGAGGATCCTGAGCCTCAGATTGCAAAAAACGACAACTGTTCAGTGCTGTCAATTGAGACCTTATCTTCAGAAAGTGACCTCTCACAGACTCCTGACATGCTGATAGAAAAGTTCAAGGCACAAAATAGTGCTGATGCACTCTCTGTATGCCAACAAAACGGATCTTGCATTAAAGAAACTTCAGAGTCCACCAAAGCAAAACCATCTAGCCCAGCAGATGGTAATGAGAAGAAGAAATCTAGCAGTAGAGATGCTGAAGGTGAGAGGATAAGACTGCTAACTTTATCCCTCTACTATCTGAACTTCATTAAATGACTGTCCAAAAGAGGGAGCCACTGCCTTTTCTTTCTTGATCGTATCTCTTCATCTGGCGGGAATGGTCTCTGCTTCGGTCAGAATGCTGTTTTGCTTTCCCTCCTTTTATCTTAATGACTTCACTGCCGTTTCTGACATTTAATATGTCAGTCTATTTATGCTTTTCTTCCTGTCTGTTTCTATTCTGTGCAAAATTACCAGGCATGGGCTTTATTTTTTTCAATGAAAATTATTAATGCATGTCATTCCTGACAACTCTACCAGCATTTTAGACAAATATTAATTCATAATATTGGCTCAAGGAGGAAAATGTATTATTTGCATGCCACCTTCTTTGGGTCTTTATTACATGAGAATGTGTTTTATTGTTAATCTATAGTGCCCTCTAGTGTCTGTGCTAAGATTGATGGAAAGCAAGATATTTCAAACCTGCTTTGTGATCTTTGCAATATTGCAACACGGTTGAATTGCTGAAAGTGCCAAGATTATATTAATATTATAACAGATGTTTTTATTTGTTGTGACTATAAATCAGTGTTATACCATTTCTCATCTCTTCTGAAGCTAAAACATTGGTATTGTATTCTCTAAAAATAATTTAATCGTGTTTAAAAGATTTTAAACTTTTTAAACCATTTAATAATTTTTTATTATTGTATGCAAAAAAGTTCTACTTGAAATAGAGGGCTATATATAAATACACACACAGAAAGAATTGTTTTTAAATGTAATACACCTTTAATCAATACAAAATGTTAAACTACATGTTTCATTGATTTAAACAAAAGCTTATTTCCAAATCACTCAATGTTTTCATCAAAAACTAAAAAAACTTCATCATAAACTCCACATGACTTAAACTTGTCCAACTCTTGCATTGACAAATAAAAAATTATATGTATTCCTTATTCTTGCTCTTATAAGCCCTTTAAAAATCATTCATTAATTTTCTTTTTGGCTTAGTCCCTTTATTAATCTGGGGTCGCCACCGCAGAATGAACCGCAAACTCATCTAGCATATGTTTTACGCAGCGGATGCCCTTCCAGCTGCATCCCATCACTGGGAAACACCCCATACACACTGATTGACACACATACACTACGGACAATTGGAAACCCGAGCACCTAGAAGAAACGCATGCGAACGCGGGGAGAACATGCAAACTCCACACAGAAAAGCCAACTGACCCAGCCGAGGCTCGAACTACTGACCTTCTTGGCTGTAAGGCAACAGGACTCCCTGCTGCACAACCGCGTTGCCCCTTTAAAAATCAATTCAATTTTATAAATTGTCTTTATAACAAAATATTGTGCCTCCTACTAATGTACATCACCATTTTTGCTTGTCCTGATATAAAATTTGACAGACACCCTTTTCCTTTTTTTCTGGCAAATTATGCCTAAAAAACTAAGCAGTGTGACACAAATCAAATAGAGGATGATTCACACTTCCTACTGTTCTGCTCTAAATACACAACTAGAGAAATATTGTTTTGCCAACTTGAAACATTAATTCATGTAAACATGTTTTATCGACTCAAACTTTATTGTGTTTTTAGTAAACATGGTTATCAACAATGGTAATAGCAGAATTCCTCAACACTGACTTGGTTAAATGTGTATAGCATGGTTGATAACAATATGAAACTAAAAATGACAATATATATGTACACACAAAACAAACACACATATACAGTATGAATATATGCATACAGAAACCTGTAAATAAGTATAAAAGGGAGGGGGGAAATGACAAAAACTATATACATAATGTTAGAAAAGTACAGAAATGAAAAAAAATATTATAAAAGGGATCAAACAGAAAGAAAAGATAGTCTGTTGTCACCTATATCTTAAGGCATCTTAATCATTTCTCCTACATCGTTAAATTAAATAACTTAAGTTTTATTAAAGGAGATCAAATTGTCATGCCCGGCGAAGCAGTGGTGCAGTAGGTAGTGCTGTCGCCTCACAGCAAGAAGGTTGCTGGGGCGCTGGTTCGAGCCTCGGCAAAGTTGGCGTTTTTTGTGTGGAGTTTGCATGTTTTCCCTGCGTTCGCGTGGGTTTCCTCCGGGTGCTCCTGTTTCCTCCACAGTCCAAAGACATGTGGTACAGGTGAATTGGGTATAGGCTAAATTGTCCATAGTGTATGAATGTGTGTGTGAAATGGTTATTCTAAAGTTTTCTCAAAATATTTGTTCTGTCTAAAATCAAAAGTCTCTTCTTTTGTCCCCCTTTGCTTTCCTTCAGAAAAGAGTTACGTGAATGCGGACTATCACTGCTCGTCGTCAGACAGTGATGATGAGGTGATCGGTCAGTACCAGGAGGCCGTGTCCAGGTCGCAGGGTCTCCGGGGAGGTGCAGCTAGGACAAACTCGCGTCACCAGAAGGGCTATGGATGGGACACACGGCAGAAATACTCCCCTCTAGCGGCTGAATATGACGGCTACAGCAGCGAAGCCTCCGCAGATGATGGTACATTTGCACATCACATCACATTCACACAAACACAAAAATAAAAACACCTTTCTTTCAGCTATATGGGATCTGTCAGATGGAAGTAGAGATTCATGCTTAAACTTTAAGGGGAGATTCTGTGTTTTTATCAATCAGACTGAAGTTTGGTGCTCCTGTAAATAATCAGGAAATTAAATCAGAATACATTGGCATTTTCAACTGAATGAAATCAGTTTGAACAAAATCATCCTTGTATTTACCCGTATTGCCTTATGCTTCTTAGATGTTGCATGAAAGATTTGAAAAAGCAAATATAGTTTTATAAATTATGTTGACCACTTGTTCAAATGTGGTAATTTTTTTGAAGAACAAAACACGATGTTGCTTTTTTTTTTTTAATGTAGCAAATATTGTGTCTATGAAAGTTACTTAACCTGTTTATTGAACTCTTGCTCAAGATATTTGCAGAAACAGCAGCCATGGGCTTAAATTATAAACAATCAAAAACAGGAACTCATTTAATGGCCATTTTTATTAGATGAAATTTCTGTTCTAGAAGAGTGTCCCTGAAAGCGTTTAAAAAGCATTTTGAGAATATTTTGATTACGTTTGTTGTTTATGTATATGTAATTTATTCATGTAATAGTAACAATTCAGCAGCCAAAACTCTAGTCTTCATTGCAGCATGATATTTCAGAAATCATTATCATGTGTTTTGTTTGGTGAAAACATTTGTGCAGCTTAACATTTTATAATTTATTTGATCACTTTAGATCTAATGTTCCCTCACTAAATACAATAATTCCTTACCTTCAAAGACAAAAAAAAAATCTTACTGATCCTAAAAGCTTAAACAATATTGGTCTTCCATGGCACCTAGACAAAGCAAATCAGTTGAAGAGACAGTTCACCCAAAAGCAAAAATTCTGTGATCATTTCGTCCCCCTTCACTTGTCACAAACACATTTGAGATTCAGTGTTTTCTTTAACACAAAAGAGGTTTGCCTGTTCGCCTCACAGCAAGAAGGTCGCGGGTTCGAGCCTCGGCTGGGTCAGTTGGCATTTCTGTGTGGAGTTTGTATGTTACTACCGTGTTTGCATGGGTTTCCTCCGGTTGCTCCAGTTTCCCCCGCAAGTCCAAAGAGATGTGGTACAGGTGAATTGGGTAAGCAATTGAGTGTGTGTGTGTGTGTGTGTGTGTGTGTGTGTGTGTGTGTGTGTGTGTGTGTGTGTGTGTGTGTGTGTGTGTGTGTGTGTGTGTGTGTGTGTGCGCGTGCAAATGAATGAATGAATGAACGAATGAATGAATGAATGAAAAATAATTTTGAAACCAGTAACCACTGACTTCCATAGTATTTGTTTTCTCTATGGAAGTCAATAAGTACCAATTTCTAATATTCTTTAATATAATTTATTTTCTGTTCAACAGAAAAAGTATAGATTTGGAAACACTTGACTTGAGGGTGAGAAAATTGTCTTTTTTTTTTTTATATCATTTTTGCGTTAACTATCCCTATAAAGGACACTTATGGTAAAAATCATCTGGAAGCTGTTTGGACAGACCTGTGTGTATGTAGTGTATCCACTGTCATTTTGGAATGATATAAACACAAGAAGTCTCTTTTTAAAAATATCCTGATGTTAAAATAGGACCCAAATCCCACAGATTTTGAGGCCCACCGCAACATTATGTAGGAGTGTGGTTTTCCCCGCTCACCGAATTGATTGACATATCGTCATATTTCTGTAATAACATATATACAGGTCCACAGAACATTTTTTGAAAATAAACTCTGTGACTTTTCTGATTTTTCTAAGTTTAAACGTTTTTAAAACAGCATGTTTGTAATAAAGAAAGTAAAATCGCTATTTAATTCTTAACAGCTATAATCACCACCACATGGTGTCAGTAAATCACAGCTTCATCAGAGTCTTTCTCTATCACTGACGGCTGTTTATCTGACACAATGTATAATGAAAAGCAGACATGCAGGGGGGAATTGTTTGCGGGGAGAAGCTGCTCATTTGCATTTAAAGCCATAGGCTACAAAAACAGCTTTAATGTATTCAAAAGCCAAAAATGGGCAGATACTAGCATCTATAATGAAAAATCTGATGGGTATTTTCAGCTGAAAGTTTACAGACACGTTCTGGACACACCAAAGGCTTATCTTGAAAAATGGCCAACTAAATGCATGTATTTTCCCAGAGATAGGTTGCGGCTGAAAGGGCATCCGCTGTGTAAAAAAACTTGCTGGATAAATTGGCGGTTCATTCCGCTGTGGCGACCCCAGATTAATAAAGGGACTAAGCCGACAAGAAAATGAATGAATGAATGAATAAATGCATTTTTTTATCATTACACTAGATGGCGCTGCTTAACAACAAATGGTGAGATAAGACATGCCTGTTTTTCACTGGAATTCTGGCATGACTCAGAACTTTTTTCATAGAAAAGTCAGTAACAGACCCAGAAGAAAAATCTGAATGAAAGCTGTTTTTAATAAAAATGACTGTGGGCTGTTTTTTTCTCTGGCAGCGGTGAGTTTTACAGAGAGTAAAAGGGTTCAGATCATGCATATATCACATGTCAAGTGAATCTGGATGGTTTTGGAAGAATAAATTTTTACATAAAGAGCCAGAACACATTGTTTGTTTGTTTTTCTTCTTCTACTTTTTCCACACAAACACTCACAGAGCTGCAGTATGAGGCAAGATGAAAGAAGAAAGAAAAAAAACCTTTCTTAGAAAAGGACACAATTCTGTTATTCTGCTTTTGAGAGAAAGATGATGATCTCTGCTTTTAAACTGCTACATAAATGGCTCTGTGATGACTGTCAATAATCATGGGTAATGAACAGGATTAGGGTTATTTTCTCTACTTCCAATTGTCCCTCAATTGCCATTATTGCATTCCGAGCCAAAATCCCTGCTGGAATTATCTGGAAAACAGAGCAGGAAGATTACGACGGGCTATAAAGAGAATGAAAATGTGTCAAAGGGAAGTGCTGTCAGAAAGAAAAAAAGCAGGAAGCGGGTGGAAAATCTCTCTCTGATTTCAGCCTCTGCTTCTGTGAACTACTGCACACAGAGACACATAGAGCCGCATGCTTTTCTCATGAGCTGTTTTCCTGGAGGCAGGAGAGCCTGTAGCCTCAGGCCATCTGTATAATACATGAGCTGCTAAAACACACACACATTTACATTTACGCTCACATTCACATTGCACAAACACACATACACACATTCCTTCACTCATACATAACAAATGAGCTGAGCGTTTGCTGTTGGAACCAAAGAGGTTTATAACACCTTACTGATGCTTTAGTATTGCTATTCATTGCGTGTTGTTTGGACGGTTTATGAGCCCTAAAAAATCAAGTTCAGGGTCACGCTATTGATCACTCTTCTTGGCAATTCCAACTGTTGTAGTTCTGGCATCAATACTGGCATTCAGATCAAATTGAAACACAAGATATACAGTAGGGCAGAGCCTCTCATTCACAGACATTTTTGCTCATTGCCGGAGGTTGAAAATGCTGCAGTGTTGATGATCAAAGACGTCATTCAACGTGAAATGAAAACAAGAGTGCTTCTCTATCGCCTTAATCGCAGCAATGCTTCTTTCATCCAGCCTCATTAAAAGTAAACTCTGATTCTGAGTTTGCGCCTGCTGTATCCTGGTGCATATCCATTTTAGTATAGTCAAATTTTAAAAACACAATTCATTTATGATTTAGAAAATATACATATTTCAGGTTATGAATTAAAGTAATAATCAATATACAGTAGTAATTGTCATAAATATCATCATCTATTCAACCTTTTTCCAATATCAAAACTATACAGTTGAAGTTAGAATTATTTACCCCTTTTGATTTTTGTTTCTTTTTTAAATATTTCCCAAATAATGTTTAACAGAGCAAGGAAATTTTCACAGTATGTCTGATAATATTTTTTTCTCCTGGAGAAAGTCTTATTTGTTTTATTTTAGGTAGAATATAAGCAGTTTTAAATTTTTTAAAAAACCATTTTAAGGTCAAAATTATTAGCCCCTTTAAGCTTTATTTTTTTTCCTACAGAACAAACCATCCTTATACAATAACTTGCCTAATTAACCTAACCTTAATATTTAACCTAGTTAAGCCTTTAAATATCACTTTAAGCTGTAACGAAGTGTCTTGAAAAATATATCAAAGATTATTTACTGTAATCATGGCAAATATAAAACAGGTCAGTTATTACAAATTAGTTATTAAAACTATTATGTTTAGAAATCTGTTGAAAAAAATCTTCTCTCCGTTAAACAGAAATTGGGGAAAAAATAATCAGGGGGGCTAATAATTCTGACTTCAAGTGTATTTGAAAATTTATTTTAAAAAATTCAAACAAAATTATTATTATTTTTGTATTATTAAATGTATTAAATATTTTTGTTAGGGACACTCATAAATTTATTTAATTTATTAAGCCCTGTATAAATCTAAAATTTAATTCATAATTGAATTAATTAATTGTCTTAATTTTTCAGTTTTAAATATATATATTATTCTTACCGGTAATTTAATTGCACAATTATTTATTATAATGTATTACAATTATTAATTTTGTCATCATTATTTAATGTAATAGAACAGGGTTTTTTTACTTCTAAAATTGTTCTGCTGAAAATGTAATTGGCAGTTGATTCCACAGTGGCAACCCCTGATAAAGAATGGAATCAAGCAAAGCAGAGTGAGTAAGCCAGTGAGTGATGATGTAATTTGTTAATTAAAATTATTATATTTATAAATATTATATGAGGGATGAAGAGAATTTAGAATATTATATATAAAAATAATCTACTTCTTGATAAAACGTAGAGCCTCAGCAATGTCTGAGTTTCTAATAGTCAGAACTACAGGTAGTTGCATCAAAACAGAAGCAGCTGTGTGTGCATGTGTATGTGTATGTGTGAATGCACTGTATTTATAAGATCACTAAATCTTCCTGTCCTGACCAGCAGCATGTTACTATGGCAACAGGCACTTGGTTCATTCTCGCTACAGAGCTGCTTCACTTGTAGGGTGAACGCAGGTAAATCAGGCCACGTTTCACCATTCATCTCAATTTCAATTTCATAGAGCCACTAGCAGCATCAGCAGATCCTCAAATTCCCTTCAGTTTCTGCATTTGAAAAATGAAAAGTGCCGATTTGTTTATTAAACGTGCACTCTGTGTTTTGTAGCACTTGAAGGACAACTAAATCATTTATGAGCATTCAAATGCACTGTGCAAAACCATGAACATTCCTTCATTTGAGCATAGGCTTTTAAAATTACCATTCTTGTTTAAGGTTTCACTTACTTTTAAATATATATAAATATATAACATACTCTGTAATAAATGATAATGAGGTCTAATCATTCTTTTGACTAAATTCACTGATTGTTTATAGTTTAAAAGTTAAAAAAAAAAAAAACTGTGTTCATTATTCTCCTCACAGTTCAGCCATTCAATCTCAAATGACAACTTATTAGAATTAACAAATTGCTTTCAGCAGAGCATGAAAAACCCCAAAAACTCGAAACAAGTCTTTTCACTGCAGTATTACCGATGTGTTGATTATTACTGTATTGTGTAGAATGCAAAGAGGAACAAAACAAAAGAGCTTTGGCCACAGAAATGCTCGCGATACTAATAAAACCATGTTAAAATACTAAACGTGACAAATTTAATCCAAACATTCCTGATCAATGCGTAAAATACAATAAAGAGATAGGAACTATATCATTATTTATGGCAGTGCTCTTTAGTTGAATATTTTCAAGAGAAAGTTCAAAACATTTTATTCATAGTATCTAAACAGGATTTATCCAAAATTTGTCCAAAACTGTATATTCTAAATATTTTTCCTATTACAAGCACTTTTACTCGTTCAGATAAGAAACTTTTAACTTATTAGAAATTTGGGATCCCTTTGTATTTTTCTTGAAGGAAGCTGATACAAATCTTTTCTCTGGATGAATTGCATTACCTTCTATTGATTTATTGTGGTTGTTATAGGATGTATTTTTTTATTATATGTGTAAGTACATGCATTTACATGTTTGTATATTTTTATTATTATTTTAATGTATTTTTTGTATTTTTTCAATTTTTCTTGTTTTATTTTTTATTATTGTTATTATTATTTTGTATGTTTGGTTTTGATTTCTGTTGTACATGTTAAAAGTTACTAAAATCAATAAAGAAAGTGTTACAAATATATTAAATGTAAGAATATTTTAATGACAGAAAAAATAAAGTACAAACAAAACATACTTATCAGTCAGTTTAACACAACCTTCACTCATTCATTCATTTTCCTTCGGCTTAGTCCCTTATTTATCAGGGGTCGCCAAAGCGGAATGAACCGGAAACTATTTCGGCATATGTCTTACACAGTGGATGCTCTTCCAGCTGCAACCCAGTACTGGGAAACACCCATACACTCTCATATTCTCACACTCATACACTAGAGCCAATTTAGTTTTACCCAATTTACCTATAATGCATGTCTTTGGACTGTAGGGGAAACCGAAGCCCCAGAGGAAACCCATGCAAACATGTGGAGAACATGCAAACTCCACACAGAAATGTCTCCTAGCCCAGGCGGGACTCGAACCAGCGACCTTCTTACTGTGAGGCAACAGTGCTAACCACTGATGATGCCCTCAACACAACTCAATCTGAAAGTGTAACCAAAAATTTGAAATGCAACTAATTACATACACAAAGACAATAAAGTTAAACTAAAACACATTTAAACAGCTCAAGATTCTATTTGGCATTTCCTGTGCAACTTCTATCAACGACTTCTTTCCTTCCTGCTTTATAACACTGGCCTAAAAACAAGGGCGTAGATTTGCTCTTGACATTGGTGGGGACAAACATTCTAAGAGCTGCATTGAACAGCACAAATTCTGTTTCACGCTTTTAAAAATATAAATAAAGTACATTATAATATAGAATAAACACTTATTGGAACAAAAAACAATCACATCCCATGCTCCAAACGTCAATTTACATGATTTTACTGCAGTCGGGCTTTGAGGAGGTTTTAATGTAGAGAAATTTAGAGAGGTGTGTGACACAATTGAACTGTTTTATTCAGATTATAGTTTCTCATAATCATGGAGGCCAAAATCAAAAGTGAATTTCTATAAATTGCACAGCCTTGGTTAATAGTATAATGGTTAACTCTTAGCGAACTTGATTTTTTTTTACACATGTAGGTTACTAAGGGTTGACTGAGCATTATATTATTTTGGAAATTGATTCAATTATTGGTAGGGACATTTCAGTAATTGGTGCATATTGCTGGGGACTTGTCGCCTCTTTTCATGCTAATTCTACGCCCTTGGCTAAAAGCTCCAAACACCAGCTCAAAAACACCAAATGCATCTCTCTCTCTCTCTCTCTTCAGTGAACTGCATCCAGCGGATGAGACGGACTCCACCATTGGACGAGCTGCAGCCTCCGCCCTATCAGGATGAGGACGGGTCACCGCGCATGTCATGCACACCCTCTGACCTGGGCGATGCCAAATGTGACCTTTCACATGGGAGCGATAGCCCCAGACACAGCTACGGGAAATGTCCGAGCGAGCTCAGTGGAGCCCAGGAGACAGAGAGCTTCCTGAACAAGGGCTATGAAGAAGATGTGCCAAGTGACAGCACTGCTGTACTCAGCCCAGAGGTGAGCAATGAGTAATTCGCAGATTTCCAGCCCATCAGTGAGTCTATTTATTTACTTGTGTAAATGTGTGTACATTTATATTTATTCAGTTTTTAAATTAATTTCAGTAATATTGACTAACATGAAAATGTTTGTTTGATTTATTTACAGTACAGTTTGTGAAGTAATATTGTCTGTCTTTTATTAAATGTATTATATGAGTGACTTGCTTTGTTTACCAAATAAGTGGATCTAATTGGATTTGCATTCTAAACATTAAATAAAAGTTAAAAAGGTATTAGTTATTATTTTATATATTAAGTTTTTAGTTATGATACTGCCAAAATAATTATGTATAAATCTGCAGGTTTTTTAGAAAATTCTTCACATAAATTGCCAACATGTCCACAGATTCTGTCTGGCCCTAGCGATAATGAAATCTGTCTGCAGACATTAACATAAGGTTAATATGGTGGCAGTCCAAATCATTAAATGTTTAGTTCACCTTGCGAACACAAGATATTTTAAATGAAACCCTACAGCTCCCTCATCCTCCATAGACAGCAGCAGTCCCGAGATCTTTAAGGTTCAGGAAAGAAAACAGTATTATTGTCAGAACGCTCCATGTGTCTGTAAAAACTACTTGATGCACATATGTCTTCAGTGTCAGATGAGCATGCATTTTACCATGGGCAGCATGTTGTATTGCTAGTAGTAAAAAAAACACCATGACGTGCCCCGGGAGAGAAGACAAAAGCAAACAAAGTCATTTTACAGTTTTTCTGGCACGCAAATTGTTCTTGGAGAACCACTGAAGTTGCATGAAATGTCTTGACAATGTTTTTGGTTCCTTTTCTGGACTTTGAATGTCTCGGGACCATTGCTGTAAATGGAGGATCAGAGAGCTCTCAGATTTCATGTAAAATTTCTTTATTTAATTACAGAATTTTCATTTTTGGCTGAACTTTTACATACACTTTCACATACAGTACACCGGCTTTGTTGCTTCATTTGAGCTGCAACACAACAACAAAATAATACATTTAGTCTTTAACACTGAATCTAAAGATACAAAAATGGTTTGTCTGCTGTACATTTTGTAAGGGAACTTGCTAAGCATGATGGGTCAAACATGGTATAACAATTTTCTGAAAATAAAAAAAAATTGTTTGTTTGCTATTAAATAATTATGTCAATTAAATAAAATCCTGTATAAATATTAATATTAGGGCTGCATAATATATCGTTTTATTATTGATATCGCAATGTGCAAATCTGCAAAAGTCAAATCACAAGATCAGCAATGTTAAATTGAGATTATAATTATAATTTAAAGCATTTGGGCATAAGAAATGATCACATTTTTACCCCAACAAAGATTAATTGTATTTATTTATACAATGAAAGTACAGTAGCCAAGATTTGAAGTGGATCAAAAAAAAAAAGTTGATCAAAATAAGAATGGGAGTTAAGGCAACTTTGATGAAATAAAGTTTTGATCCACCTCAAACTGTTTAGAGTGTTATTATACATTTAATTATTTTATTTCTGTTCCTCAATACTGTTAGACTCCTCAGAAAATCATAAAGCGCTGCCTATTTCATTTGTATCTTTGTTCTAAAATATTCATTTATGCTCGTTATTTATTATATTTTATGAATACACACTCCTGAATCAATGTAAAATGAGGAATTCTTCCCAAATAGAGTTTTTTTAAATCATCTCAGAAAATTATATACAAATCACAATATATAATCTCAGGAATATAGCATATCACAATGTCAGGTTTTTTCCCAATATAGTGCAGACCTTATTCATATAAAAACATATTTAAATGAACTGAATTCTGGACCAAACAATTAAGTAAACTGGAATAGTTTTAATCATTCCTTACAGTTGTGGTTTGAACTTCCATATTGTTTTTTATTTAGAGCAATTTTCTGAGCTACACAGGCATCGATCCTTGATATTACCATCCCTTAATCATTCAGAAACATTCAAAGCAATTTCTAGTGGAAAGCTTATTTTGATCCTTTTTTGACCTCTATTTAGCGCTGTCATTTTCTTAAGTTCTTTCTCAGTTTCATAACCTCACCATGCACACAAACACAGATGCATGCACGCACACACCCACACACTTATAATTCAGTATGCATGCGTTGAAGACATCTGTGAAATAATTGATATGTTTACTCCAGCAGTGATCATACCGAGCCACATCCTCAGTCTGACTTTTGTTATATGAATTATAGCAAGAATAATCGTGTCTTAGCCATCAATCTTTCAGTACGTTCATCCATCACAGAATATGCCATAACTGTATGACTATAGATTTAAAGCTGGCATATAGAGGGCCATATAAATATACACGCTTTCTGCTCAGACATAAATATTGCTTAAAACACTTTTATTTTCTCTCCACCATCTCTGCAGGATCTGTCTGCACGTGGATCTGCAGCTCAGCTTCCTAAAGGCTATGACCCAGAGCCTCTTGCCCAATATGGGACACTTGACGTCGTGTTTGACTACGATTCATCTGACCAGCGTTTGTCCATCTCCATAACAGCGCTGACAGATATTCCTTCTCTCAAACGCACGGGGAACATCTCCTGGCAGGTCCATCTGGTGCTGCTGCCCACCAAAAAGCAAAGGGCCAAGACCATCATCCAGCGTGGCCCCTGTCCCGTCTTCACTGAGACCTTTCACTTCAGCCATATCGAGTCGGAGATGATCGGGAACTACGCCATTCGCTTTCGGCTTTACAGCGTGCGCAGGATGAAGAAGGAGAAAGCTCTCGGAGAGAAGGTGTTCTACCTCACCAAACTCAACCTGCAGGGCAAGATGTCGGTGCCCATCATACTGGACCCCTACTGCAACATACCTGTGAGTCTGACCACACTTTTTTAAACGTTTCAAAAACATTCATTTATGATGTTTTTAGGACTAATTATTTGCATTAAAGTAAAACTTTAGGTCATTTAAGAAAAACGTGATTTATTTTTTGTACTCATTTAGGTTAAATGCTACATTTCTACACTTTACTGTTTAGTTTTTTATAAATAAATTAATAAAATTTTTTTCTGAAAGAATGCACTAAATTGATCAAAGTGAAGTTTATTTATGAACTAATTTCGAGAGTATCACATACTTATGATTGACCACGACTGGTACCGCATTAGCTATCATATGATTTACCAATTAGATCAGTTGTTCTCAAAGTGGGGGTCGGGACCCCCCGGGGGGTCACGGGTCAATGAGAGTGGGTCGCTTGGTGATTTACAAAAATTTTAATAAACTTTTATGATTACTATTGTTAATCCATAACCTACAGAAGATAAAAAAAATAGTTACATAAAAAAATACAGTATCCAAACAAAAAGCCATCAGCCTTTGGTTTTTTTATTTTTTATTGTTATTATTTTTTTTACATTCATTGCAACCCTTAGGGTTTTTACATTAGATTAATGACAAAGCAATGACAAAGCAATAGCGTCAGTGCACCAGATTCTACAGCACTAGCTAAACTTTCTGACACCGTTACAGCACTCGCGTACATTTAAAATACATACAGGACACTAAACATGGAGTATGATGTGTAAGTGGCAGTCTCCAAAATTAAACCAAGAAAAGACTTGGGATGTAACTTAAATATTGTGCCCACCAGTCTAATTAGATGAGGTTAATATAAAATAATCATAATAAAAATGATATGGGACTGTTGCACTTTTTTGTTTTGTCAATATGCTTGTGTTTATATAGGCTGATTGGTTTGTGTGAGTGTTGTGTGCAACGTTTGTATGATTATAACCACTTACGAAAGTAGTGGGGGTCACGAGTCATTGGCATTGTTATTTTGGGGGTCCCGGGCTGAAAAGTTTGAGAACCCCTGAATTAGATGAATCCAAAGACACTATAAAATAACAGATTTTCTTACCTTTTACATCTTCGTCTAGCAGAATCCACGCCTACTCCTCCCCCACTTTTCTTGATTAATCCAGGACAGGACAGCTTTAAAGCAAGAAGGTCGCTGGTTCGAGTCCCAGCTGGGCCAGTTCGCTTTTCTATATGGAGTTTACATGTTCTCCTCGTGCTCATGTGGGTTTCCTCCCAAAGTCTAAAGACATGCAATATAAATGAATTGAATAAATCAAATTGGCACAGTATTTGAGTGCTGTTATAGTTTGCGGTTCATTCTGCCATGTCTACCATTAATAATCAAGGAATAGGCTAAACAAATGAATACAGGGGTGCTCTGAAGACCTATCTGAGCTCAGACTCCCCCTCTCCCGATGAAATGGAAGGGAGCCTCGGGCTCGAGGATTCTGTTGAACTCGGTGCTCTCTCTCAGGACAGCATGCCAAAAATGTTGAAAACACAGCTTTGTCTAAACTGGAAAAAAATACATTTATATTTTTATTATACACCCTCAGAAATAAAGGTACGCGAGAGAAAATTTGTAAGTACTAATACTTTTGAGGTACCAGCATGGACCCTTTAAGTTCAAATGTTTACATTTTGAAAAGGTACCACCCCAGTGACAGCTTGCATAACTTTATTTCTGAGAGTGTTTATCATATTTATTGTTATTTTAAATTGTAATAATTTTGGCAACATGCTGTACATATTTTTTATTTTAGTCAAAATTTAGACTGAAACAATTTACAAATGCAAGCTTTCTTGTTTTTTTAAGCAGGCAGTGAGATCAAAAAATATAATTTCACTATATAATGTAAATAATTAATTATCTAAATATTTAATAATACAGCTATATATTATTAGTCATTCAGCCTTTATTCAGTTTTGCTGTTTTTAGATGACTAATTTGTGTTTTACACCTTTGAAAACTCTAAGGTAACAAGACCATTTAAACTCAAGACTCGATATTCACAGTTATTAAAAATGAATAAATGTCTCTCTCATGCAAGTGTTAAAGTAGCAGATATGGCCAAATGAAAAGAGCTCTCACATAAGCTATAGAGAAGAATGTTTAATGTGTTAGAAAGTCTAAAATGCAACAAAAATAGTGTTGTTTATAAGTTCCAAATCATACTAGAGAATATTTGAGAAAACTGAACAATGATCAAGGGAAATAACTAAATGATTGATCAAAGCAATTGAGAAAAAACTCTGAATTTACTGCCAAAGACAAGATGAGGAAAGGAGAAAAAAACATTTCAATGCAGAGATAAAAACACTAAAGCATGAACTTTTGAACTGAAGTTTGACCATGAAAATCTTAAAAAATCAACTTGAATATGCTCAAGTTAATTTGGACAAGTCTGTTTTGTTGAGTAATGTGACAAAACTCTAACATTTTGGACCCATGGTTCAATAGTTTACAATACATTAGGTTTTTGTCTTGAATCTTATAGGTCATAAATAATTGTGCTAAAAAAAACTGTTCAGCAAAGTTTTTGTGCATCACAGGGCAGTGACTCTCAGGCAAGCATGTCAGACGTGTCGTGCAGTGAAACGGCCTCATCGTACCCGTCTGCGGCTCAAGGTTCTGCTCCAGAGATCCTGCTGGGTCTTGTGTACAACGCCACAACAGGACGCCTCTCTGTGGAGGTCATCAAAGGAAGCCACTTTAAAAACCTGGCTGCAAATAAACCTCCCAGTGAGTCCAAAACCTATTCAACATGATTGCTTCTAATCTTGAATCTCCTGCATTATTTTATGTATGGACCAAATCATGTCACCTTTCACCTTTGACCCTCAAGGTGCTCCCTATTTCTTTCTTTTCAGTCATATTACCCTTCTGCTAAGCACTGACCTCTTAACCTTCCTGTAGCTTCAGACACAGTTTGGTCAAGCGCACAAAACAAGAGCCTTATGCCTTCAGAAAGCACTCTCACAACAACCATCAGTGGAAGTCCCTGCCACAACACAAAGTTCAGCCAATAGAGTTGAAGAGACAGCGTTATGAAATAGTGATGAAAGCTGCATGTCTCTCATACGCACTAGCCCTGAATCTCAAAATATACTTGTTTTTTTTAAACATACATTAGTATATATGAGCACAGCCTTTCAAAGTATACATGAAGTATTTGACAGCGTGCACAGAAGGAGACCAAAACTGCTGAAAAGACGGCTCTTTGTCTTCTTTTAAACATTTTTAAGGTCTTTTTGGCACTGCTTACAATGCAGAACAGGTTGTATTAAGTAATGTGATTAAACAAAATAAATGCCATTGATTCTGTCTGAATCGTACAGTTGTATATTTAAAGTTTCTTTCACAAAATGAAACAAAAGTATAGATTTCAATTAAAATCTATATTTGAAATATAGCAGTCTTGCATGTTCAATAAGTAGCTCTCATGCAGCATCCAAAAATCGACAAAAAAGATTAATTCACCAAAAACGGTGTCTCATGACAGATCTGACAACTTTCCAATATGATTTTTACGTGATGAAATCTGATCATTTGCATAAAATTTGTCATTTTTGTCCATAAAAACACTGAGCCCTAGTTTTCATGTTTTGCGCTACGTTGTTTAAATGACAAATACATTTGCGCCACTTTGTGGACTCATGGGTGTGCTAGCCTAAAATGGAGGTGTGTTAAGGCACATTGATGGCGTGTTGCTATTTTGCCAAACTGAAATAAACCACGTCATTGACCATTTGAAAGCAGGTCTAAAGTCCAACACAGAGCGCATTAGTTATGCGCCTATGTGGGTTCAAACGCTCACACAATGCTTAATACTCACAGGATGTACAGCAATAAACAAATATCTTTACATTTAAAAAAAATAAAGGATTAAAATGCTACAAAAATGATTATTTTCTACATAAATATAAAAACCATTGCTTCCATGCTTTTTTCATGCCTCCAAGCCTTTTTTCAGTTCATTCATGACAACTTGCATTTGTTTAATGTTATTATTAGTACTTTTATTTATTATATGTATCTTTATATTATGTTAATAAACATAAGTTTAGATTTGTCCACCTGTTGGGTTTTGGAGATGTAAGCTTTACTATATGGGACATAAGAATAAGATGTGTTTTTGGATATAACTCAACTTTTTTGACCACACTTCATTCACATTATTACTGTTCAATTATTCGTTTGCTGGAAATTAAAACTGAATTTAGAAATAGTTTTAAAACAAATCTTTGTGCTTAACAAATTAAATTAATTATGTAGGCTGATGAATGTCTTCAGTGGAGTGAGTTTACACAGGTTTCTTACTCCACGAAAATAAAGGAGTAAACAGTAAAAGTAAAGAGAAAGAAAAAGTAAAGAGGCCGAATGGAGGATGCTCGTTCTTTATCCTCGTGCTGCAGATGGTTTGTTTAACTATTTTCTTGCTAGTAAAACATTCAGTTTTTCCTCTTATGAAGTCCATCATGTAAATAGCAAAAGCACAATGGTGCAATGCAAACGACTCTTATAGGGAATGGGATATGAGACTTTGATTGGTTTAATGCACATTATTCTCAAAACACACCCATAATTCATTAAGAGAATGAGCACAACCCTGTTAGACCATGTGCCGTAGCACAAAGAATAAATTTCTGTTCTTAAAATAGCAAAAGTGGCTTCCCACATGTCCTTAATGCCTTTGTGGCATGCGCTTTAGACTTTGTGCCTCGATTGTTAAAATAGAGCCCACTCAGTCTAATATCTTTTGATGTTATAAAATATTCAGAAAACAGATTTTTATGAAGGCAATAATGTATATTTTAAAAATTAGATAAATGTTGTATTAAAAACTTACTAGAAATAAACAATTTATTTTCATTTGGATAATTTAATTTCAACATTGTAACATTTAACATTTGCGTTTTTTAAGTTCTCAACTGAGAAATATACCATCAAAAGCCTTGTTGGTTTTGTTTTTATCTTTTTTTTATCTTTCTTAAAAATGTGAACATTAAGTTAGCCTGAACTTAATATAACATTTTATTTTTTGTTGTCTGCACCAAACAAAAAATCAAAATAACTACAAATGTAAATCCACCTGTAATACAGAGAGTTGTGAATGTTTTTTAATCCCCTCAAATAAGTGCTTCATAGACTGTGAAACACAGCCAAATTCAATGTTGACACCTTGTCAGTCAGACTTACACATACTGTATGTATACCCTAGCTTGTAGATAAAAAGCAGAGCATACTTTGTTCTTTATCCTGAAGTGGCGCAGTGTGCTTTATGAACACATTACCTCTGACCTGATGTGATTAACCCTTCAAGCCTTTTGACCTGCTCTTTTTCTCCTGCCATTGTTGACATTCTCTCTCTTCCTCCCTGATGATCCCCCTCTGCTCTCTCCTGTTGTCAGATGGTTTGTTCTGTTGTCTAAAGCACTTGATAGGTGGCCAAGTGTACATAATCCGAGGTGAGTGTTCTGTGGCTTACCTTTATCAGCATCGGCCGCTGCTCATCCATCTTTCTGTTTTCACGCTTCCTTTCTTCATCGTCGATCCTTGATGTTAGACTGGCGAATGCTTCTACATGGATGGTCTGATCTGTGGAAAATTTGAACGCAAAGAAGTCAAAACAGAAGGAAGATTTAGAAATAGGAAGCACGTTATGCAATGTATTTAGCCGTCATCCATGGAGAAGGTTCAAATGCTGTTATTTTTGGCCACATTATGTTGGATGGTATTGCTAGTATTTTATGTTCTCTGTAGTGATGTTTGCATGAGTCCCATAACCATGTGGTTTAGATTTTTTGTATGCACTTACTAGATCATTTGCTTGGACCATTTTGAGTTTTTGCTGTCATGTGACTAGTTCTCGTCTAAAATGCCAGAGAGATCTTTATAGACTTGGAGCAATGTGAGTTGTTGTACTGTTTGCTGAAAATTGAGATTAAGAGACCACTTAAAAATTCTCAGTTTATCTGGATTCATGATTTCTAGTTGTGTCACCCACTTTGAATGTTATCACTCGATTGAATGGGCATTATCAGTGGTTATCAGCTGATAGACATGGCCCAGTATGGGCCTTCTGCGCCTACTAGTAGGCTCAGAAGGCTGTTATCATCCATCCATCCATTAATTAGTTATACTGATAGAGAAGACTCCAGATCCAGATCTGTTTTTTCTATTACTATGACGGTTGGCTTTAGGGGTGGGGTGGGTTAGGGTAGGGTAGACGTTAATAAAATACAATTAATGTGAAATGTAATAAATAATAAATAATTAATATAAATAATTCTCGCCGCAGCTGTAATCTACAGCTGATAAACCATGTAGATGGATGATAACAGCCTTCTGAACCCACTAGTAGGCACAGAAGGCCCCTACTGGCCCATATCTATTAGATTATAACCACTGATAACACCCATACAATCAAGTGATAACATTTGAATCGGCTGGTTATGTTTAAGTAAACATTTATTCTTTTATTCTATTGATTACATTTCTGACAAATTTTAAATATAAAGAGTTTATTTAAATACTAAGAGTTATTTGGTATAAATTATTAGCAAATGTACTGTTTCCTGATATATTTATATATAGACAATACAACAAAGTAATAAAACAGTGTGTTATTCAAAGAAATGGCCAATTTCTAAAAAGAATGCTCTGAAATACAATATTTTTATTATAAATTTGGATTGAAAGATATACCTTCATATAGTAAAGCAGATATTAACATTTTACTCAAACCCATACCTACATCCAGAGAAACTAAGGAAAAATCTCAGAATCTCATTGTTTAAAGTGGTGTCTTAGATTTTATCTGTACCTGTATGTACATAATAGATTTTCTTTCGTTTCTTGTTTTTGTGAATTAAAATGAATGTCAGTTTATATTTTTATGTAGCTTTATTAGGTCTTATTACAGTTAAATAAATGTGAAATTTAATTTTGGAAGCTGTTTGTGATCTTTAAATCATGTCTTATTCATATTAATGTTTTTCATAATATAACTCATTATAACTCATAACTCATTCCGATTAAGCACTTTTAGCCTAGCTTAGCATAGATCATTGAATCGGATTAGATTTCACTCCTCTGTAGTTACAATGTGTGCGAAAACTGAAACAGAAACAACAGAAAATGAAAAGTTAATTTTTGGAATTTTTTGAGAGAGATGCTAATGGTCTAATTCGATTTAACAATCTATGCTAAACTAAGCTAAAGGGCCTGCTTAATATTAATTGAATAGTATTCTTTTCATTTTCCATCGGTCTTAGTGTAACTATTAAAGTGAAGATTTAAATATAAAAATGATAGAAACTCTGGTCATTTTGTATTTTGGAAAGAGTTTAAACAGTTTCCAAACTGGAAATTAGTTTATGCAGAACATTTATATAAATCAACTGAACAATAAACTTTGGAAACATTCAAGCAAATACATGTGAGAATTCTACAGCGGAAACACAAATGGTGAAAAGTAGGTCTCCATACATAACTTCAGCAATGCAAATGACCAGGATTTTATGTAATAGAAAACTTACTGAAGTTGATTTCTGCGACAGTGTCAGGAAGCGCTTATATTCCTGAATAACCGCATCACAGAGGCTAATCAGTCTTTTTAACTAGCATTGAAATCACATTCAGCTTGAGGGGCTGGAGATGATTTCTTCACTGTCAGGTATAAAATCTGTGTTACTATCTCTGAAATCTGCGCTTCTTATAGCTCGCCTCTTCTATTAGTTAAAAAAATAGTGGAGGGTGAAATATTTTTCTTGAAAACGCAGCAGGAAGACTCCACAGGAAGCCCGAACACAACCCTCGCCCTGACACAAAGACACAGAGAATACTAACGTCGTTTGTATTGTCGTGCATTCAGGCGCTGTGAATTAAACGCGGTAAAAGGCCCTGAGCTGCGGCTCTCAATGCATCTGTAGAGGAGCAGTTCAAAAGCCTCTGAAAGCGGAAGACAGAGCACTGATGCGGGACTCAATTATTAATCAGTGAGCATTGATTCACGCAGAGCGTTAGTGCAGAAAAGAAACTGAATGGCCCATTTTCAGCCAATAAATTTCATCCTGTATTAATGAATGGAATAATCAATTGCTTTTCAGAGATTGAGAGATTGAAGTGTTGCTAGGCTGGAATCACAGTTTTGAAAACCTTCATGCTGGCAGAGGAGCTGTGCCACAACAATATCCTTTTCTTAATTTAACGCCTCAACTTCCGTACCTACAATTTCCCTAATAGGAAATTACTTTTGGATTTTTCTCACTAAAATTAAAACTAATTATTATTGCAATTAGTATAGTTTTGCCGTTCTTTTATTTTTCATGGTTTATAATTATGATAATAAATAATTCATTTTAAAAGTGCATATTTTTGTCTGGTTTTCCAGTATTAACTTTAAAACTGTATTGTTTTTCTAGTATATATTAATCTATTTTTAATAATATTTTATAATATACAGTTGCAATCAGAATTATTAAACCCCCTGAATTATTAGCCCCGTTTATTTTTTTCCCCAATTTAAAAGTCAAGTCAAAGTCAAAGTCAGCTTTATTGTCAATTCAGCCACATGTACAAGACATACAGAGAATCGAAATTGCGTTACTCTCAGACCCCAGGTGCTTAACATTGATATAAAATATATATATAAAAAATAGTAGAGTTTAAGAAAAAGAAAATTTACAGTATATACAGTGCACATAAATGTGGTCTGAAAAATACACATAGGTAATAAAAATTGTAAACAATACAGTGAAATTAACGGCATATAGCTAATGAGTGCAAAGTAAACCAGAGTTGTGCAGATAAAGAACAGTATAGTGCAATAAGAACTTGTAAACAGAACTCCGTTAAATTTATGTTTAACGGAGATATATTTTCAACACATTTCTAAACACAATAGTTTCAATAACTCATTTCTAATAACTGATTTATTTTATCTTTGCCATGATGACAGTAAATAACATTTGACTAGATATTATTCAAGACACTTCTATTCAGCTTAAAGTGCTAGGTTAATGAGGTTAACTAGGCAGGTTAGGGTAATTAGGCAAGTTATTGTATAACAATGTTTTTTTCTGTAGACTATCGAAGAAAATATAGCTTAAAGGGGCTAGTAATTTTGACCTTAAAATGTTTTTTTAATTTTATTCTTTTATTTTAGCCGAAATAAAACAAGACTTTCTCCAGAAGTAAAAATATTATTAGACATACTGTGAAAATTTCCTTGCTCTGTTAAACATCATTTGGGAAATATTTCCCAAAAAGAAAAAAAATTCAAAGGGGGGCTAATAATTCTGACTTAAACTGTATGTATCCACGTATTTATCTTATTTCGTCAAGTATTTACTAGCAGTGAGGTAATGTCTTGTAATGTAAAGTTTTTCTTGTTTTAAAGCAATCATGAAATGCTCTTTTAATTCTTCATATTATGTTCCTCAAACTTATATAATAAACTTTTTTAATTAAAAATATTTTAAATTTGGCCCTAAAAAACATATAATATACTTTGTGTACATGTAAAGTTTAAGTCAATATTATTTGCCCTCTTGTGAAATTTGTATTATTTTGTAAATTTATAATGAGCAGCACAAGGACATTTTCACAGTATATCCTAATATATATATTTTTTTTCTTTTTAATTTAAAAGATTTAAAATTTTGTACAGAACAAACCACTGTTGTCCAATGACTTTTCTAATTAACCTAACTTGGTTTGTTAACCTAACCTAATCTAACCTAGTTAAGCATTTAAATTGCACTTTAGGCTGAATACACTGTAAAACCCAACAGTCAACTTTATCAAATGAAATGAGTGTATTTAACTCAAAATTGACTGAAAGTTAATTTTACTCATTTAAAAAGAGTTTTGAAGAGTGTTGAAAGTAATAAGTTATTAAATACCTCATTACTTCAACTTAAATGGGGTAAGTTCACAGCACTCATATAGATTCGATTTTTAATTCAAATGGTTTGTAGCAATCTGTTTCTTCAAATGGTTTGAGTTGCCTTAACTCATTGGCTTTTACTGTACTCAATTGGTTTGAGTTCTCTTCATTTGTTGGGTTTTACTTTGCTAGAATTGCTTGGGTAAATGAGTAGAAATAACTTTCAGTCAATTTTAAGTTATCTGCTCTCATTTCATTTGATAAAGTTGACTGTTGGGTTTTCCCAATGTAGTAGGAGTCAAACAGCACTTATATTTGAAATATAATCAAATTTCACATGAGGGGGCAACTAAGCAGCCAATGGAGTAAGGTGAAAGTTGGGTGAGCTCTGCAAAAACTTTATATAGTTCATAAATTTAAGGCGCTTTTATAAAAAATAGTTCCACACCTCTCTAAGACTTCATTACTCTACATACGTATGTCTGTATGTCTGATAATATTTTTTCTTCTGGAGAAAGTCTTATTTGTTTTATTTCGGCTAGAACAAAAGCAGGTTTAAAAAAAAAAACATTTTAATGTCAAAATTATTAGCCCCTTTAAAGCTATTTTTTTCGATAGTCTACAGAACAAACCATCGTTATACAATAACTTGCCTTATTACCCCAACCTGCCTAGTTAAGCCTTTAAATGTAACTTTAAGCTGTATAGAAGTGTCTTGGAAATTTCTAGTAAAATAGTATTTAATGTCATCATGGCAAAGATAATAGAAATCAGGTATTAGAAATGAGTTATTAAAACTATTATGTTTAGAAATGTGTTGAAATAGAAATTGGGGGAAAATAAACAGGGGGGCTAATAATTCAGGGGATTTAATAATTCTGACTTAAAATGTATATATAAACGTACTTTATGACCCACTTTTAAGAATTCTTTAATTTCTGTAGAATTAAGTCTATAGACTATAATTGAGTACAAATAAAAGTACACTGTTTTGTTTTTATTATTGCTTGAACTAAAATAAAAACTGTAAAATCAGTTTCATCAGTGCAGCAGACATGCAGTTGCAACATTATGTATAACATAATGTCTAAAGTGGACATTCAAAATAAATTGTTACTATATTTTTAAGATATTTTACCAGAAATAAAATCAAAATACCATTTAAGCTCATTACTATCATATGAAAGTCTTATCAATATTTTCATGATCAAATGTTCTTTTGATTGAATTGATGGTAAAAGTATGACAGCTTCTCCAACTGACCTTCTCTTTCCTGCTGTTTCAGATACGTATGTGAAGCTGACTCTGCTCAACTCAATGGGTCAGGAGATGTCCAAGTGTAAGACGTCTGTTTGCCGAGGCCAACCCAATCCCACCTACAAGGAGACTTTTGTTTTCCAGGTAGCTCTGTTTCAGCTCTCCGACGTCACGCTCATCCTGTCCGTCTACAACAAGCGCAGCATGAAACGCAAAGAGATGATTGGCTGGATCTCTCTGGGCCTCAACAGCTCTGGAGAAGAAGAATTAACTCACTGGACTGAGATGAAGGAGTCAAAGGGACAGCAGGTGTGTCGATGGCACAGTCTCCTGGAGTCCTAGAGCATCAGTAAGCCACAGTGATGATGAGGACGAGGATGAAGATGATGATGATGTGTGTAATGGGATGGGGAGCAGAGAGCAGGTCAGGCCCTCGAATGACCCCCCAAAAGACAGGGCTGGCCCACGCTGCAGTGTATTAAGAAGAACACAAGTAGATCTGGGGATGATGTCCGCTCTTCTTCCCAGTGCATTATGGGAAATGAGCTAGAGAAAATGGTAAGAACAGGGTTAGATGTGACCAGATTAATGGAGGAAACATGTTTGTTTGTTTTTTAAATAGATATTCATTTGTATATTTGTTAACTTGATGTTTCTATTTTTGATCTGCTCGAGATGATTGTTTATAATGGACGTACTGTATGGTGCTTTAGGGTCAAACAGAGGGAAAAAACAAACAAATATCTGTCTTTTTCCTACACCCCATGATGCTTTGCATGATTGGTCATGACAATTGACTAATGAGAAGGTAATACAAGTTTATTTATACACTACCAGACAAAAGTCTTGTCGCCTATCCAAGTTTTAGGAACAGCAAATAATAACTTGACTTCTAGTTCATTTGGTATCAGAAGTGGGTTTTATGAAAGGTAGGTCCAATAGGTCTTCTGCAGTATTTGTGATGATTGGGATGTAGTTCAACAGATGATTCATCTGAAAAATCTACAGTACCTGCTGCCACTTTTACAAATGATCAACTAGAAGTGAAGTTGTTATTTGTTGCTCTTACAAGTGGGATCGACAACAAAACCTTTGTCAGGTAGCGTATAGCACTTTTCATTCACAATGGTTATTCAAAGTGCTTTACACAAACAAGATGAATAAATAAACCTAAAATAATCACACAATTTGTAAATGAAATAAATACAATGAATATATACAATCAAAAACAGATTAAAATGTATTAAAAGACTACATATTAAAATTAACAAAATACTCTCAACAAAATATGAATAACGCAAAAAATTTGAATCAAATCTTTTCGCACAGATATGCTAGTAATACTTATGTCATGTTAAAAAAATACCTGACGTAACATTAGTTTTATGATTGATACAAACTAAAGCAAAGTTTTGACTATACATAGGTTATTTGTTGCGCGACATTATTATTTGAAGCAATTTGTAAAAGTTTCCCAAAACGAACACAACCTATATTTCAAAACACAGTAGTCATGTGTGGAAAAAGGTGGATGTGTTTGAGATGCAGGACTGAAAGTTATTAAAAAACAAGTTAAATAAGTCTAGAAAAAAAAACTCTTTACTAAATAGTCAGAAGTACTGTCAGGTTGACTAAATGTCATTTCTGAGACATTTTAAAGGAAACTCTGACAGATGTGTCTACTGTAAATGAATAACTGGCCTCCGCAACATATGATCAGATCATCTAGATCTCTGTCATGATTTAGTTCATTCCACTTTGAAATGTACTATTAGAGTGCCAATCCGGATTTCACCACATATAGCCTGTCATACGGCATTATATGTCAGCTATTTCTAAGTTTTAATTCTCACAGTAGAAATCTGAAGCACACCAAATAATGGATATTGAAAATAGATAGAGATATGAAAAATATTCTTATAACTTTTCTTTTACTGTGCTTATAGAAACACCTTATAGCTTTAGTTAAAAATTTTTAACACCTATAATATAATAATACCATAACATAAGTATGAAATATTATGAAATTTTAAATATAGAAAATTAGTTGTTGGCGTATGTGGACTAATACGACTTCTAAAACACAAGCTGATTTATATTTATTTATAATTTTTCATTCAGCTTTCTGTTTTAACTATACTTTAAGAAATGATTTATAGTAAAACATAATGTTAATACAATATGATCATGTTAGGAAAAATCTGCCGTAAAGATCAAGGCCTGTTCACAACAAAAAATTATAACTATAGTGATGACTATATTAGTGCCCACCTTTGTTTTTGCACTGATGTTCTGTCAATGCATTCCCTTTCAATGCTCAAGCACATTTAAATCAAGTGGATTCTGATTGGCTGCAACAGTAATAAGTGTGTTTAACTTTACCTGGATGTAACCAGTCTTTGAGATTTGTCACTTGCATTCAGGTAGGAGTTCAATTTCAGTTTCCTTTATTTTTGTCATTCAAAACATCACAATAAATTGTAATGCAGAACGAAATTACGTTATATCGGACCCAACAAGAACATAATAAACATCATGCACTATAAAACCTAACATAATAAATAAGCTTTATAATTTCATAAATGGGCAACGCAGTGGCGCAGTACGTAGTGCTGTCGCCTCAAAGCAAGAAGGTCGCTGGTTCGAGCCTCGGCTGGGTCAGTTGGCGTTTCTGTGTGGAGTTTCCATGTTCTCCCTGCGTTCGCGTGGGTTTCCTACAGGTGCTCCAGTTTCCCCCACAGTCTAAAGACATGCGGTACAAGTGAATTGGGTAGGCTAAATTGTCCGTGGTGTACAAGTTTGAGAGAGTGTGTGTGTGTGTGGATGTTTCCCAGAGATGGGTTGCGGCTGAAAGAGTGTCTGCTGCGTAAAAACATGCTGGATAAGTTGGCGGTTCATTCCGCTGTGGCAACCCCGAATTAATAAAGGGACTAAGCCAGAAAGAAAATTAATGAGTGAATGAATTTCATAAATAAAGAATAATATAGTTATATAAAATATAAACCAATTATAATTACAAATCACAGAAGGGTATAAATTAATACTTAAACAACTATTGCACAGTTTGTTATAATAGTAATAATATTAACATTTTGTGCTAGTTTAACTATTTTTATATATTTATTATACTAGCTATCAATAGTGTTTAAAATATAAAAATAGACTTGTCGTGTCACTCAAAAGCGACATTAACACAGTGTTTGCATACTTTAGCTAGCACAACTGAAGTAAAATAAAACTAATGTTTCTCACATACTAAAACATTTCAAATGCACTTTTTATTCAACGCAAGACTACTGCTCAATACAACGCCTGTTTGTACAAGTTCTACCTCCAGAATTTAAACATCAACTTTTTTATTTTTATCCCATGATAAACATGACAGAATATTAACATTTAAAAGATCATTTATAATTTATGCATAATTATTTAAACTTACCAGTTGTCGTTTTCAACATGTTGTGTGAACAGGCCTTGCGTCATATCTAAAACAGTCCATTTTCAATTTAATCACTTCTGTAGTAATTACATACTTTCCTACTGTAAAGTATGTGAAAAACAGTATGCCAAATGAGTTCACAGTATTTAAAAAAAACAATACCCAGATGACCTACAACCTCTGCTTAGATTCTTAATCCGCTTGTTAAGTGTGACGTCACGCGGAGCGGCTTCCGGGCCAAGCGCTCTATTCAACTAAATGGGGAGATTCATGAAATGCTACTAATAAACACATACAAAGAGATTTAATACTTTCGAAAGTCACGATCGCAATATACTGTATGTGTCCATGCCTAATATCCAATGGCCAGAAAGTGATTCATTTTTTTATAAATTGTTAAAATTTTGGTATTTGTTATGCAGCAAGCCCAGAGATTGTTGTGTACACTATGAGTTTATAGAAAATTTACTTTTATGTGTGATATGAATAAAAAGTGATCATAAACGAATGATTTCTCCACTCGAATGGTGGCTTGGACCCGGAAACAGTATTACATACGTCACAAACACGTCACCGCTTAACAAGCGGATAATTAATACCGACACTGTACAATCCCATGAGCCTGTAATGTAATACATCCAAACTTCATTTACACTACCCACATATTTTTCATATTCAAATACATTACCTTTGAAAACAATTTTACACCCTTCGCTTGTCCAGGACAGGCCAATGACACAGAAGATTCAAATCATCAGCTCTTACTACAACTCTACAGCCATTTCTGCGACTGTTCTGAACCGTGAGACCTTTACGAAAAGCATTTTCACAAGTTTCTAATGCGTGGTGAAATGAAGGCGACATTTAGTTTCTATTTTAGGTGTGCATTTTGCCATCTTTTTACAACAGACTGTTCCCTCTTCACTTTTCTACTGAATCTGTATGCTCCTGAATGTTCGAGTTTAGTACCTGGGACTCTGGGTAACACTAGAGATGCAGAATGTCGACTAGAGAGTTGGTGATTAAACTGTGAGGATGTGTTAGGGGTATATGAGACGGTTTACTTCTGCTCTGTCTTTATAAGTGTCCTGATCTCTGTGCGGTCGGCCTGTGAACTTGTTTCTTTCCTTTCTTGAGCGATGGTCAAACTCACTCAGTGATTGTTACGTACTGTAAAAGGCACATAGATTTTGCTGATCTATTTTTGTATTTATATATATCTGAGAAAATGGACTCACTTTCTTGGTAAATGTATGAAGCTCTGTGAGCAGTATGGAGTTGTAGACTTTGTTCTACGTTCGCAGTTAAGTTGATATTTCATTCTCTTTGGTTAAAAGAACCGTTTTGTTAGTAAACGTGTCACTCATTCAGTGTGCTGTTTCAATATAAGACAAGATGAAGGAAACTTCTCATGAAGGTCTTCTCTTTACTGTTACAGGTGGATAAAGCGTATGGCAGGTTTGGTGGGATGTTACATACTGTTTTATGTATTCTTACTGCAGCTCTGCTGATGTCATTATTTCAGGTGATGCTGATGTAGGCCACATAGGCTCATTCGGAAAACGTAGCCCTATATACATTTCTGGAGATTGCGAATTATGTAGCCTGAAGTATGTATGGCTGCATTTTGTCTTTAAAATAAATGGCCAGTATGACGCTGTTCCTTTCTGTGTTTACCAGCTAACCTCCATGTGGACGGCTTTTCCGTTGTTACCAGTTTGCCCAGTTGCTCACCATGTATGTCGGCGGTATTAACTGCAGAGAGGAGTTGACCATGACTAAGTGGTTTGAGTTCGGCAAAGAATAATTCTAGAAAATCTGAAAATGTGGTAAAAAAAATCTGGTGAGGACTTTTCTTTTTCTGAATTGCTTTTTGAAACACTGTTGGCTAAGTTTAGGGAAGTGGGTGGGCAGGTTAATCAGTGCTTTTGAAAACACTATTGGTTGGGTTTAGGGCATACCTGTCAACCCTGCCATTTTTTCCAGGATTCTCCTGTATTTTACAGTTCTATCCCGCTATTGCAAAGGTATTTTCCTGTATTTCTCTCTAATTTTCAGTCTTTTTCTGAATGATGGCAATAAACATTAAAGATCCGATCCTCCCTATATGCAGTTCATACCACCAAACCACCAGGGGCCACCCCTTGCTCTTAAATGTAAGTCTGTTCTGTGCTTTCATTTTATTTAGGCATGAAA